TATATTTTGGTAAGCGACATTTCCATCGACATCGACATTTTAAACCTTGGATAAACCTATAAACCAATTGCCAATAGTCTTTAACAAACAAAGAATCAAGCTCACCTTGTTCTTTGAAACTTGGAAGTGCACTAATTTCCCCCACGCCACTAACAATATTTCTTTTTTTCCTCTGAATTCTTCAAAGATTTATATTCAAGTGCTTCAAGTTTCTATGCACATGAATAATAATGAGAGGATAAAGAACATTGGAGACTTGACAACTTTTAATAGATCAACTTATCTCCACCCACCCCAACCCACCATACAACTGGATACCAAATTGATTTGGAAAAGTACCTCATCCCTAAAAGGAGAGCAAAGGAATCACATGGAAAATGAACCACCATTAGCCCAAAGACCTTTATATATTTCAATCTAGAATAGCAACCTCCCCAACCATAATAACCTCATTGTCCAATAAGTTGATCTCGAGATCTAAAACAACCTGAAAACATTGTGGAAATTAATCTCAAATGAACCACTTCACAAAAGACCCAAATTATCTACAAATTGAACAGAAAGTATGGTGAACCTTCAAATACAACCGAAAAAAGTGTGAACTCTCCCCCTTATGCTATTCTAAAGGTAATTCAGTAAAAAAGATTAGTAAAGATTGTGAAGCATAAGTATTCCTATCTCATGCCTCTAAAGTTTCTAAAGAACTCATTGAGAAGCCATTCAACAAAATGGAGAAAAAGGAGACAGATGCAGAATTTAATGTACCATTTCCATTTAAAACCAAAACGTCAAATTGATAATTAAGGTATTGGGGCATAAACCCTCACCATGTCAATTTTCCACATAAAACCGTTCTCATTTCACAGTCTAGAGTCCAAAAATTATACAAAATGACTAGACTCATGATGAGGGACACAAAGGATAAAATCTTTCATTCTTCACTCTACATGCAGATAGAATTAGAAGTGTCAAAACTCACTCAATTGGCTTGATCTCGATGTCATTACTCATTAGAAGGCTTATTTGATTATTACAAGTCCAAGATCATAGAATTGGACATGAATTGACTAATTGAGCAAATCATGGCCAATTTACAGGTAGCCCAGAAATCTATGACAAAATTCTTTCTCTTTTGTTATTTTGAGTTTTGAATTAGAGTTTTAGCAGCTTTAGGATTTACTTTGGTTGGTAGTTGTTTCGGAAGTTGCTACCTTATTAGAAATTTGTGAAAAGTTGTAATTTGTCAAGAAAGCGATTTTCAAACATTTTAGTTCTAATCAGTTTTTATGCCAGTCCAACTACAAATGTGTGATTAGAAAAATTCAGTCTTTCCAAGGTCTATATCATTGCTATAAAAGAGGAAGATTAGAATCTGGAATGAAGTTTTGCCTTTGGCTTAGTTTTCTTTGGTGTTAATATCGATATTTTTTTATGGTGTTGATTCCTTCAAGAAGCTACCACTAAGTGTTGACTGATTGACTCCTAGAGAAGCCTAGAGTTTGATTCCTACATTACTCTTCTTCTCTTTTTCCAAGTTTAGGTCCATCTTATATCAATTTGATATAAAAGCAGGAACTAGGAAGTTCTAAATCAGATAAGTACAAGAGAAGTTAGTCCCACAACACATCAAGAATTTGCCTGTCTAAAAATAAATGATACTAAAAAGAGATTTCGGCACTAAATTGTGACCATGGGCTATGGGTGTCTTCATCCTTGAAAATAGCACTGCAGCATTAAATCTGTACATATACTTCTAATAATGCTGGTTGGCCTTAAATCCATGAAATATTCTTTTTTTTTTCAGATAAGTACAATGAAATCAGTGATCCAGATAGGCTGAAGAGCTTACCTTTTTATAATCAAATCTTCAATGGCACTTCTTACAGAAGTCCTCTGTGAAACCATCAGACATTAGGGTTCTATTCCCTCTCAGCTCTTCCATGGCTTGGAGAACTTCAGTAGTTCATTATGTTCAAATAGAAATGGAGAAATTCAATGATTCTCAATGATATAGCTGTGATAAAACAATACCTCAAAGGATAGAAAGATGTTTCATGAAGCGAACAAAAACAATTAATGAACTGGCTATCGTTGGAGCCACAAATATAGCTTATAAGTTTCCATTATTTTATGACCGCCAAGCAGAAGAGGAAAGATATATCTTAATGACCCAGAACCTGACCAATTCAATTCTCCAATGTCAACTCCTCGTACCACCAACAAAGAAATCTCCAAATGGGCCCAAAACGACTGAAGTTATCTTTTGAAAGACTTTTAAGTCCCATTTTACCAAAATAGGAACACTAATGCAGTATAGTTGATTAACTGAATCTAGCTGAAATTGAAGCAAAGACTGCTCTCACAAAACTTTTCACAAGCTCTGCGAATCAAGATTGCTTATTTGCTTCAAAGCTATTAACCCCGCAAAAATGACAGAATAAATAAAAGAAAGTCGCACATAAGCTAACCTTTAGAGACCCTTTTAAAGAAAAGAGAGACCAAGAACACATTATAGTATGCCACAGAACATATACAGACATTCATTAGATATTAAATCCATATAACCCTAAAATCATGCATATCATCATGTAGCCACAAATTTGGCTGGGAAAAGAAAAGAAAAAATATCACATCACTTATCAGGAAATTACAGCGCTACCATCGATCCACCCACAACCAATTAGATATTTAGAACATCTCCAAGAATGAATTGAGTGTGGAGAAGATCAGAAGAAGATCAAGAAAGAGGAAAACCCATGTTACTCACAGATAAACCTTGCAGTTCGTTGGTCCACCAGACAAAACCCCAACCCCTCTGTTGGACGAAAATCCGATCTTCACGTTGTCACAGAAGACTCTTAGATAATGCATTCTCGTCCGCCAGCCCCCGCACTTAAACCAAACCCAAGCCCAAATTCTGACATTGAAACCCACCTCCCCGCTCGACCGATCAGAAGCCAAGGCTTTGGCAGAGGATTCGGGTACATACTGGGACGCGGCCGCAAACTTCACCTGCATCGTGGTCTCGTTCTTCTTACCCTGGGAGAAAGGCGCAACAAACGTATCGGATAATTGCGCCCCACGGTAATAAAATGTTGATTCGATGTGGTCATAGTAAACGCTCATCTTCTTATTAGGATTCCTAACGGTGAAGTCGAGGTTCCAGTCGCCTGTGACTTGAGTAGCGTTGACATTGAAGGAGGAAACAGAGGCAGAGTTGAGCCGGAACTCGGGTAGATGGGGACGGATAATGAGCCACATGATAAAAGTAATGCCAGCCATGATGAGGAATACGACGACCATTAGGGAGATGAGACGGCGGAGGAAGGCAGTGCGCCGCTGGTCGTAGAAGGGTGTAGAGTAAGGGTTGGGGTTGTAGTAGACTGCGGGCGGTGGCGCGGCATATGGGTAGCCAGTGCCGGTGGCAGTGGTTGTGGCGGAGTAGCTAGACTGCGCCGGGGGGTAGCCATTGGGGTCGTAGCTGGGTTGCGCCTGGTTGTACCCTGTTGGGTAGCCTGTTGCAGGTTTGTTCCGATCTTCCATTGTCGAAGTGAAGTCGATCGGTCGAGCGAGCGAGTGAGCGAAAGAAAGAGAGAGAGAGAGAGAGAGAGATGGGAACCGAAAGTTAGGAGGAGAAGAGTGGAAACGCGTGAAGAGATTCCTGCTGACTAGTAATTACAAGGAAACTTGGGAGGAGCGTGGGAGGAAAGACTCTGGTCTGGTTATTATTTCAGTGGTCTCAGATTCTTCAATCTTCGTGCCAAACCCGAGATTACGATTGGACGGTATTACGTGCATATTACTGAGTCAGTGACCGATTTGCTTACGTAGAGTTAGATCTGTCAATTATCTGGGCCAACCCGATAGACCTAAAATGACTGGACCCTATCACATAGACCCCATGGTCTCGGACCTCTATTTCTGATCTACATTCTTCTTCAGAAAACAGAGCAAGATCTTGATTCTCCTACCTGGGTCGAGTTCGCCCATGTCTATTTGTCTATTGTATTTTTATGGGACTGGCTTTATATCTAGGGCTGCAAACGAGTCGGATTCGAATCCGATATGTGAGATTTTTACAAGCATGATTCGAATTCGAATTAGAATGTAATATTGGATATCCGATTTGAATCCGATTCGATTAGAATTATATTTATATTGTGTAATATAAATAATATATCATATTATTTATATAATATAATAATATATTAAAATATAAAATATATTATATAATTATATAAATAATATCTAAATAATATATAAATATATAATATATAATATTTCATAATTAATAGATTGAATCCGGTTATAGCAGAGTCAATATTCGAATTCGATCCATTAAATTAATGAACCAACCTTTCCAATCCGATCCAATTTATTAAGATCAAGAGAAATATCCTAATCCGCTTCTTAACAAATTTGTATCATATTCTGATCTGATTTTTTTGCAGCCCTATTTATATTCTTAGCAATTAGGGGTCATTGAATTAAAGTTGCCCCAATTTAAATTGAAGAGGAGGACGTTACATTATGTACTGCTACAAAGAATCCAACCCAATTTCATCCACGTGGAATTTCAGTGGAGGGGATATCGACCGTTGCCATTTGCAGACAAAAAATAAAATCAGAAAATTGAATGAAGTACCTTTGCAACGTTTAATTGAAGCTATACTCTTCAGCCATTTTGCTGGAAAACTTTTTTCAATTTAATTTTTAATTTATTTCAAATGGACCTAATTCTTGTACTCCTGATTTCCTTAAAGCTTGTGGGGGTGTTGTGTCCCTGGATTTGGAATAATTGAATGGAGTTGGCCCATGGGTTTCAGAAAAAAGGAAAAGGATGAGTGTTGAAACAGAAGAGACAAGACTTGCTTACCTGGCCGGGGCCCATAGGCCATAGCGTGTCACTTGTCCCACATTTGGAAATGCAGGACCACCATTCAATAAGATGGAGAGTTGGAGACTAGTTAATTGCCTAATTGAGCCAAATAAATTGGGAAAGTATTGTAACAGTGTGATTTTGTTAATGTAATATGTGATAAAGTTTTTGTTACTTAATTTTCTATTTTATTAATGAATTTGTAAATTACTAATTATAATAAAATGATTTGGTGCCACCAAAGAATATGGTTTAACTTAACTGGCACCGGTGTAGTAGCCTTAGGAAGCAAAAAAAAAAAAAAAATCACACCCATATACCATATGAATAATTGAGTATTGTACAATAAATTAAGTTATTACATTTAAGTTAATTAAGTTATTAAGTAATTTTTTTTGTTTAACCAAAAATTAGTCTTCCAAGTTTCATTCATGTATTTGGTATTATTCAAGAAAATACCAACCTAAATAAAAATGGCTATTGATTTCAATACTTCTAGATACAAGTAATTAAGCACATGCGTTGTATGTGAGAAATTTTTTTTCATATTAATTACTTGAATTTTAGATATATCATAATTAAAATAGAAATTGAAAATTAACAAAAGTAACAATATGATTAAAAACAAACTTAAATATTTATTATTCACTTATGACAACATGGATTTCTTTGAAAAGTTGGATCGTTGACCCACCATCTAGATAAGAAAATAGTTTTGTTTTTTGATTAGTTTTAAATTAAATAAGTTATAGTCAAAGTCGGTTGTACATTTAAAATTAGGCTACAAATTAGTCTATAAACCAACAAAACTCTGACAACTCGCTCTACATTTCAAATTATAAAAACCATCGCCATGTCATTGGAGGCTTATGTGGTTGTTGCCAACATGGGACTCTTAATCCATGTTGGACACCAAAAAACTTATACTAAAATTTCCCTTTAATGTTGGGTGATTGGAAAATAAAAAAGGGTTTTTAGTCCATCCCTCTCTCTCTCTCCCCCCTCCCTCCCTCACACTCTCACTTACAGTCATCTTTGTCTACTCAACGACTATGTGATTTGAAAATAAAAAAAAAAATGTTTTTTGGTTTCTATATTTACGTTCTCTATATCAATTTCTCTCATTCTCTCTTTACCTATCTTCTCCCTCAATCTCTCTTATTCTCTTTCTCGATCGATCTTTCATTCTCCCTTAATTTCTATTGCTCTTCCTCAGCTTCTCTCCCACTCCCTCTCTCTTTTTTTTTATTTTCTTACACCTTATATGGTATTAATTAGATCATGTAAAAGAACATGAAACCAACTTGGTATGGTTCAAAAATTATTACACTAATTTGATAAAAATTCACAAGAAGCTCTTGGCTATAAAATTTACATCAACTCGAGAATGATAGAAATTGAGGAAGAAGGAGATATTGACCGAGAGGGAGAGTAAGGGAGAAAAATGAGAAAGATTGAGGGAGAACAATAGAAAGAGAGAGATAGAGGAAGAGGTTTTGATTTGGCTATAGACCAAATAAGCTAAGAGAGTGGAAGAGACAAAGGCAACGGGAGATCGAGAGATGACTATGAAAGTGAAAGAGAAGGGAGGGAGATCGAGAGACAAAGAGAGTGGGGGAGAAATTGAAAACCTATTTTAGGTATAGTTTTTTGATGTATCCAACATGGACTAAGAGTATATTGGCAACAACTACATAAGCCTTTGATGACTTGGCGGGGATTTTTATGATTTGTGTAGAGCCAGTTGTCAAAGTTTTGTTGGTTTCTGGACCAACCTGCAACCTAATTTTAAATGTACAACCGACTTTGACTATAATTTTCCCTTTAAATTATATATTTCATTTACATTATATAAAATATTTTTTACTTATCACACAATTTTTGTTTGTCTATGGTATCATTTGACTCAAACCACTAACCCACCGTCTAAAAATAAAAATTGTTTGATCTCTAGGTTGACATTAAATTTTGTACATTTCCATCATTGATATTTTATTTTTTATATAATGACAATATTAGAGATGTACCCAATATTTTATTTTTTATAAATATATGACATTAGATGTGTGCCCCAAATTTTCTCTATCTTTTTTTTTTATTTTTGTGATTATTTGTATTTTCTATTATTAAAAACTTTATTATTTGACTATGACATCATTTCATTTCTAGGTAGAGTTTGAATTTGGCATTCAATTTTCATCATTAATAAAAATACTTCTTACATTTCATAGTTATTTATTTTAATTTTTTATTATTTAATTATAGTATTATTTATTAATCTATTTGACCCCAAATGGTCAAACTGCTTACCCACCACCGGGAGGGAAGAAAATGGTTTTGTTTTCAAATTAATTTTCAAAATATTTATTTTTATACTATTAATATTAATATTGTGGATTTAATTACAGGAATTTAATGATGAGAGAAATATATTTTAAATATAGGATTAATGAGAGAGAATAGGAAAATATTTTATTTCCAATTGGTTTTAAATTTTACATTCCATTTCCATCACTAATAAAAACATTTTTTATTTATCATACTTATTATTGTTTAATATTATGTTAAAAATGTTTCCAATTTTTTTAATTTCTATTTTTTTCATTTTATCTATTTTTTTATTTTATTATTTAATCGTGGCGACATGGATTAACCCATTTGACCCCAAACTGATTTAATTTCTTACCACCACTTAGATGAAAACACTATTTTTGCTAGGTAGATTTTAAAAGTATAAGTCTTTTATGTCATTGGAATTATTAATTTATTAAAAGTATGGATTTAATTAATAGAACTTAATGATGTGAAGAAACAAAAATGACTTAAATATATGATTCAATGAACATGAATGCAAGTTAAAAGTTGGATTTAATGAGAGAGGATTGAATGCATTGAATATCATTACCTCTTTTCAACTCATTTAATATGAAGAACTGATTATCCTATTTGCCCTCATTTTTTTATCAATAAACTTAAATATAGAGGGATAAATTTTGTCCTTATAAAATTCCAGAAATATTCTTGAGGCCATTTGTGTTTTTTTAAGTAGTATAGAGAGGATTGAATGCATTGAATATCATTACCTCTTTTCAACTCATTTAATATCAAGAATCGATTATCCTATTTGCCCTCATTTTTTTATCAATAAACTTAAATATAGAGGGGTAAATTTTGTCCTTATAAAATTCCAGAAATATTCTTGAGGCCATTTGTGCTTTTTGAAGTAGTATAAATTTCAAACTATATTTGGGCGATAAATAAATTTTCAAAAGTCTAGTCTCTAGTTTAGTCGAATACTCCTATTAGGGAGCAAAGAATGCTAAGACTACAAATGAAAATTTACCCTCTTCATTCAAACTATAAATATCTTGGAGTCCCTCTACTATGAAGAAAGAGAAAGCATGAACCTTAGAATTTGTGCTAGATATATAAATTATAGGAAAGACTAATACAGTGGAAGGCTTCTTGTGTTTCATATATAGGCAGGAGGACTTTGGTTCAATCAATGCTACAAACAATCCCTATGTAGTGTATGTCATGAGGTGGGTAAGCTGGGATAAGTTATCTTCTCCCAGAGTAAGGTGATTTAGCCTAGAGGTTTATTGTAGAACCTAATGCTTTGTGGGTGAAGTTATCAAAAAAGTAAATATCTCACCAATAATGAGATCATTCCTCATGTGTCATAAATTAGCTTCTAATCTTTGGAAATGTACTTGCAAATCTCTTTAGATTTTGTTTTCAAATATGGGTGTTTTTTTCTACAAAAGGAAAACTACTTCATTAAAAGATGATAAATACAATCATACAAATGCGTATCTTGCCCTTCCTCTACAATTTGTAGTTGATGCTCA